GTGTAGAGAATAGAGTAGATGGTTTAATTTGGGATACCTCATTCGTTGGTTCCCAAGGTAGTATTTAGACATGATTCAGGATTGGGGTGGTAGGACCATCGTCTGACCTTTGGTCATTACCACACGTGAGTGTGATGTGATTTCCCGTGTTGCATGTCTATTGAGAGCGAGCTGAGTCGGTACAGATGGGGAGGGATTGCGTGTGTGCCCGCCTCTTATTTTAGATGCCAAGTGGATCTTTCTTCGTTCCACGTTAAGCTGCAGGCTTTCCGCCTACGTCATAGCCGAAATGTAGTCACATCTATCGATTGTATGCTCCACGCGTTTATGGGGTGTAATTGGATTTAAAGATTGGGCCTTTGAGGCATTTAGGCCCATATCAAGAAGCTACACTTCCCAAAATGCATGCGTTCATAAAAATTAGGTATTCATGTATATATTATAATGGTATGGGAAGAGAGAGTATCAAATGGTGTCTCAAGTTAATGGTTCAAGAGAAAATTAACAAGATTGATGCGATTTGTTGCGCTAGTTAGCAGTTTCCCAACAACTTCGTTCATTGGAAAAGTATCAGAGCAAGTGGTTTGATAAAGTATCTAGTAGTTCACCGTCTCGTCCACATCAAGGCCGCACTGCTCTCAGTCCACAGATGTTTAGTGTACATCCACGGGAGAAGAAATCGTAGACTTTTATTCACTAACAGATCGAGTACAAGATCAACACACAACTATTATATAAGTATTTATCTCTTTTGATACTTCTCTTTCTTTGTTTCTCTCTAAATCTGATCTGACACAATTTATGTTGCTCTCTCTATCAGGATTATTGTCTTTTATACTCCAACAATGCATCTTCCCAATTGCACAACTGCAACAACTTTCCAGAAGTTAGTTATGTAACTAACTTCCCCTCCAGTTGCTTTGTGTGCAATTGCCTCTAATTGCTTCATCGATTCCCCCTGCATTAACAGTTCACGAAATCTGAATATTTCATGCTAATCAGCACGAAGCACTGCACAAACTAAAAAAAATCGTATTGAACAGCATGAACAAACAATTTGAAAACTTCGTGTTGTTTAGCACGGAGTTATCAAAAATTTCACACTAGTTCGTGCTAAGAGCACGAAATGTTCAAAGAAATTGAGCATTTCGTGCTATTGAGCACGAAAATTTAAGTATTACAAGGGATTTCGGGATCTTTGTCACGAATCTCCTACCGTGTTTTCGAGCTAAACATCTCAAAATTGTCAAAAATTTTTATAAGCTGAAGAGGCTCATGCTTCGGTAGCGCGCAAAGTCCCCGATTGCAAACTCTCTGGACTTTAACTTGAATTAGGCCCAATAACAAAACTCTGATTTATCACACTTGAGTCAACGAGTCCATATTAGCTGGGCCCAATCCCGGTCTTCAGCCGGCTTCCTTCAACAGCCAAAACGACATCGTCTTACTTATTCTCAATCTTCTCCACTTGAGACATAATTTACGATTTGTTCTTCCTCTTCTTCTTCAATCTCCAATCTAACTCCTTCGGATACATGGCAAAGAGCATCATATATATATAGTAGTCAATTAATTTATAAGTAGCTAGGGTTAATATTGCGTCAGAGATTTGAATATAGGCTACTGCCAACATCGTTTCATTGTTGATATTCGTCTTTTTTCTCTAAAAATTCTTTTTTGGAACCCCATTCTCAGTTCTTAATTTCCTTACTTTGAGTTTTTTGTTGACTTCCTTTGTTGGAGGCTGATTTTTGTTCAATCAATAGCAGAATGGATGTCGTTTGTTGTAACTGTGTTGGTGTTATTCACATAAATATAGTTGTTGTCGTTACTGTTGTAGTTGATTTCATTAGTAACTACTTGTTTTCAATATTTTTAAGTTGATTATATAGTTGGTTTATATTTTTATAGCTGAT